CATCATATTCACTGCCTCAGGATGCTTGATGTCATCCAATTCCCCTAAATTAACTCTACAAAAATGAAATAGCAATCTGTTCAATTGATTATCAGAAAGCATAAATTCCTCATTTTCAGACAAGACATGCTTCTCTAGTTGCCAATGACAGAGGTGGTTGCTGTAAATATTTATAAAGGATTATTTAGGGAACACTTATTTTCCAAAGCCAGGACTTAACTATATACTAGAAATATTTTTTGAAAGCCAAGGTCACTTGTTGTAGCACATCAAAAACAAGTCACCACAAACTACCTGAGAGCATGAGAAGAAGTACACGGAGGCGCATATCTGGGTTATAAAAGCCCTTTTATAAAGCCATTTTTAAACAAAACAAAAAAAAGTTTACAAAAGAAAAAAAGATACAGAAAAAGAATAACTTGCTTCATATATTCCAAAAAGAGAAAAAAAAAGAGGGGGGCAACAATGCCAACATGCTCAACAATTAAGGGTTCTTTTTTTGTTTTTGTCTTTTTCTTTTTTTTTTTAATACAAAATACAAGCAAAGGATACACATACTTAAAACAGAGCTCAGGAGCAGGTACATGGTCCTGGAAACTCCTTCAATAAAAGCAAAGCAAAGTTGATTTTTTTCTTTCTATGCAGGTACATACAGAGACTGGAATATGTAAAATTAAGTATCACAAAAGACCATCACACAATTCTACCAATGCATGTTGCATCTATAATTCACGAACATGGTCAACAAAATCATGTTCACTTCAACCCTGTTTTATTTAAAATTTTAAATCTTTTTAAATAAAGCAGTTACATTCAAACTTTTAACTTCCTTAGTACCATGCTGCAGGTGTCAGCATTGTCAAGGTATTGCAAGAATGCCCAACCCTCAAGTGTCTGACCATATGTCCAGCAATGATGCTGAATGTAGGAAAGGCTATTAATAGTCTCAGGCCATGGACAGACCTCTTCTATCCCTTCCTCTTCAATAGATGGAAAAAGATGAGGAACTGAACTGGTGAGGAATGGTTTTTGGGTGTCCTTCTGGCTGGTTATGTGAAAACCCCAAATAGGATGACAAATATTCAAGACAAATATTACCTGCAAATCGTTGAGCTATGTTTGGCTAACCTGGGTGCCATTCAAGGATTACTGCTTATTGTGAATTAAAACAAAAAACAAACAAAAAAAACCTTTGGAGTAGGATATGCAGGGTTTGTTGTGAAGACATGCTTATGGTAAACAAAGTAGTGCTCTTATTTACATTTTTAAAAAACAATTGATTCTGCAGAGGGAAAAAAGTAAAATTCACAAATTTCTAGAAGAGAGAGGATTTAAATTGTCAGACACATCAAACACTCGCATTCACACAAAATATTTCTGGGGATTCTATACATGTTATTTGTGGCATAAGCTGAGTATTTTCCCCCACCCCACCAAAAAACAAACAAAAAAAAGGAACCAAAAGCCCTTAATCCTATTCCCACCCCCAACCCTTTCCCACCCAAATCTAGAAAACCCTCCCCTCACCCTGATAATACAAAGCATATGCACAATGGTGACTTTACACCAGTCACACAGAGCATGCTCAGAGAGATGTCACCATTTAAGTCATTGCACTGGCATTGTGGTGGGCTGCATTAGAGGCTTTCTCCAATAGTGGTTGGATACACAAAGTCAGCACCACAGTGAACTTTGTAACTAGGCTTTCAGGGGAAAAAAAAATCAAGTTTTAATTTGTGGGTTTAGGATTCTGAAAGAATCTTGGTGGCAGAAAATCCATTCCAAGGCAACTGCAATCCCTCTACACACATCTCCAACAAAGGAAAGGAGAAATGGGTTTTATTTTCTCTGCAGAATCTTGAAAGTATAAATATTTTCTTCTTCCAGGACCCAAACTGTTAAATTATCCTATTAAATTTCCCTCAAAAAAAAATCCCAAACCCAATTTTCTTTAATACTATGACGAAGTTTCACACCCCACTATCAGAATAACGTGAAGTAATTTTCTCTAGTTGTGAAGCAACTAGCAAGTTGTAGTATCTTTCTGTCCCTTTGTAAATGACCATAACTTGCTCATTTCATCATTCGTATGTATGTATGTATGTATGTATGTAAGAAGTATTGCAAAAACAACACAAAGAAACAGAACCTGGGTTTCTCATGTTTTTCCAAACCATAAGTTTTTTTTTTAAATGCAGCCACTGAGCATACTCAAAAAGAATAATTCAGCCTTACATTCACTCCTTATTACAACAGACACACACAGTAAAAAGAAGCCATTTTTTTCTCCCACACCTCTAACATGAGATAGTCTGCTCAAGCACATGATCATTTTAAAAAGCTTTCCCCAAAGTTCCCCCATGCTAAATTCTGTTCTGGCCCTCCAAAGACCCTATAACCTGACTAAGTGAAGCTTGTTTAAAAAAAAAAAAGCCCAGAGTGTTCTAAAATTCATCTTTGTTACTTTAATGCTTCTTAAGAAGTAAAATCAAGAAAAGCAGTGAAAAATCTTTCAGTGTCATGTTCAGCCATAGTTGTTCAGGTCTGTAAGCAGTATCAAAGACTTATCTGGCTAGGAGCTCAAAATTCAACTTTGTATTGAATATTTACATGCAAACATCAATAAAAGAAACCCACAGGAAGCCAAACTATTCACAAGAATAAGCTGCTAAATGAGAGTTGAGTTTGGAAGCAGCAACTACATGAGTGAAAACATTATTGGCCATCAAAGCTTCTTCATGGGAATCAATACAACGTACTCCTTGAGATTAAAACAGCCCTTACAAACAATCTTATACCTTCCCTAAATGGGATAAGATCCAAAACTTTCCTTCTTGGAATTAAAGTGTCAGGAAATGGTACAGACAGGATGATGTTTTAGAAAGTAAAGTAAAATGTACTCTCTCTGTTATTAAATTTATTCCTTAGGTCCAATCTCACACCTTCTGGGGAGGGAAGGTAGAACACATTATATATAGACTGGTTTCACGATTTTAACTGGATAAACCATTAAGCACAGCAACATTTCCAGCATATCAAGGACAACCTATCGTCCAAGAGTCTGGATCCAAAAGGTTCTAAAGAACCACAAAACAGTGTCAGAATGGGCAGCTGAAAAACATGGAAGGTAAAATTATTTCAAAACTAAATCCACCCTAGTCAGAGAACTGTGTTCAGGGGATGATACATACTAGCATGTACATGTTTAAATAACCATCCAACTTACAAGTGCTGCAAGTTAAAAAGACAGTGGACCCTATATATATACATATATATGCATATGTATGTATATATACATACAGTTTATAACCATGGACACAGAGCCAACCAATTTGCAAACACTAATGACTATGGTCAACTATACATACTTCCTTAAGCCAAGGTCACAGTATCAAGTACACCTCAACACTAAGCACCTAGGATTCCAGTTTGAATTGTAACTATTCCATTAATAGGGTGGAGAATTTAAGGGAATGACTCAAGTTTGATAAAGTTAAAAAGCTCAACACTTCCACTGTGAAAACATATGACTTTTAGAGTGTAGCTACTCCATCAGGAAATATAGATATTTTTTCCAGTCTATCAGAAATGCATATGAAGAATATTTTCAGCTTTTCCAGTCTAAGAATTAACTGTTTTATAAAAGAACCCTCAAACAAAAAAACCCAACCTGGATGCACATAAGTAACCTAATAGAAAAGAGTAACTCTAATGTACAAGTAGATGACAGTCATACTATGAGCAGAGATGTTTATGGAGAATATATTAAAAAAACCAAATATGTTACACCACCACAAATCATTCTGACATAAGCTATGATTCAGGAAATTCTCCACCCCCATCCCCAAACTCCCAGCTCAAAGAAATAAAATTTAAGAAAACTCACAAATACTGAGAATACAAGAATTCATTTTCACTTCATTAATGGAAGAAGGGGTACATGGATGTATGTGTAGGGGAGCAGGAATTAGCTATTTCTGGACTGAAGCCCAGAATGAAGTTGTACAGCCAAGTTATAAACCCCTAAAAATAGAGGTTTGCAATGGAAACACTGATATATCTTTTATTGTAGTAACACAAATATAAAAAATGAAGGGGGTGTGTGTATGTATAAATTGAAGGGACTGAAACTTGCAGAAACCCACAAATGCAAATTAATCACCCTCATTATGAAGCCCACAGCTATGAATTTAACCATCATACAAAGCAATAACGTCTACACATTTGGCTCTGCACTAAACTCCATGTCCTTCTTAAATGCACAAAGAAGCCATATACTACTTCGAGCATGAGCAGCTAAAAACCAAAGTCTAAAAGCACCTCCTTTGTTGAGTGTGAGGCCTTTGTTCTGAGAACACTTGCAAGATATTGACTAAAAGAGAAAATTCTTACAAAGGTCAAAACAAAAAGACAAAACAGCAAGCAAGGTATTTGGGAGAAAATCCCAGAAAAAAAAAGAGGTTCAGTTTTTCCTTTCATTTCAAATGTACTAGTATATCATATCCCTACACCTTATTTCCATCAGGACTTGAAGGAACAAAGTTCAGGGAGGTGCAGGGGCTTTCATGAAGGCCTGGAAAATAACAATCAACTGCAAACGTGCCTCCTGAATGCTGAGTTGGGTCCTCCCCTCCTTTTCTAATGAACCCATTAATATTTCAACTTTATGTGATCAATACCTAGACAGAGGGCCAACAAGTCAGGAGTAGCAGTAAATAGTAAACCCCCATCGGGGGCAGGATGGGAAGAAGATAAACTGTAGGTGAAGAGAAATAACATCCTAGAATAGGCAATGAAGGGGCCTGTGTCCCATATTGCAGTAGGAAGTTCACAGATGTACATACCACATTTCTGGGGAGAAACAGGAGGGTGGGATAGGAAAACATTCTGTTCCCAAATTACCTTATGAATTAACCAAAGCATGACTCATGGGATCTGAGCGCATGGATATGCCATAACAGAATTCCACTTCTTAAAGGAAAAAGCCCAACTCTCTGTGATTTAGTTTCACATTAACTGGTTCTTTATTGGCTTAAAACCTAAACATTGTCAGTTTGAGAAGAAACCCACTTTGATGTGGTACAGCAATCTTGCTGTTAAAATCTAAATTCCTCTTGATTCTTGGTAAAATTTATTCCAGGAAAAAGAATAGATACATATTTATTTTAAAAACATGAACCACGGATATTCAGATCTGAAACAAAGTCACTTAGATTTTGAAGCACTTGCTCCCCTGATTTTTAGGTTGAGCATCATTTAATTCCCTAAAGATTTTAGTAGGAGAAAAGGAGTTCTTACTGGTTCCTATTCTCCTTGAGATGACCAGGAGTGAAACAGAACAAAACAAAACAAAAAACAACAACAACAAAAAAACCCACACCAAAAAGTCATGTGGCCTGGTTGTTCCCAGATAGGGTTAGAAATATGGGAAATTTAAGGTTGTATTCACATTTATCACCTTCCTGCCTAGTCAATGATAAGTTTAGTTCATGATTAAAAAAATTATACACATTTTTGTCTTTGCTGACTGATTTTTTTTTAAAAATTCAGGTAAATAAGGAACAACCATTGTCATTTGGAATCCTTACTGTTTTCTGAATTCCTGCTCACCTTGGTAACTTTAGTAAAGTTAAAATTCCAATAGGGTTTGCCTCAAATCTTATTGCTTTACCTGTAATAACCCTTTCTTTTTTTTTTTTTTTAAAGTTAGGTGGTAAATTCATTGGATATTTTGTCATGGCTTTTACTAGAGATTGGGAGAGGGAGAGCAGCCAATAGACAAAGGGAATTTAAAAAACATGACCATAATTTTCTCTTAAAAAAAAAAAAGGGGGTGGGGGAATATGCTGTTATCTCTCACCAGTGGGGGGGGGGGAGAATGCGGAAATGGAAGAGGGGAAAGCATTCAAAGCCCATGAGTCAAGCCATAGCCAAAACCATGTTCTACCCCCTAAGTAGATTTTCTTTTTTTTCCCTCTTTTTTTTTTTAAATAAAATCTTCCCAAACCATCACTTTTTAATCTTCCCCAGACTGGGCTTCATCTTCAGACCCTTCATCCCCAGACTTCTCTGGTGGAGGGCTGGCAGACTTTTTCTTTTCTGGGGGGCTTTCTGGCTCCTCATCCTCTTCTTTAGGGGAAGGAGTCTTTTCTTTTGATGCCTTTGATGCTGTGGGACGGCCCACTTTTCCTTTGCCTTTCACTGGACTTGGTGTCACTGAAAGAAAAAAAAGGAAGGATTGGGGAAGGAAACAGAAGTAAAAACAAGTCATTCATGAGGACTAGCCACCCCTAAAAAAGGGAAAAATAAAAATTCTACAGAGCATTTCCCAAGGTCACATGACCACCCACCTGACTCTCAATTTCTAATTTTTTTGAGGCAATTGGGGTTAAGTGACTTGCCCAGGGTCACACAGCTAGTAAGTGTCAAGCGTTTGGTCTGAGGCTGGATTTGAACTCAGGTCCTCCTGACTTCAGAGTCGGTGCTCTATCCACTCTGCCACCTAGCTGCCCCTCTTGACCCTCAATTTCTAAACTCAAAACCAGTTATGATAAATGGCTACATATTTATTTTAACAGAAAACCACTCTACTTCACAAAAACTCACAAGATACAACCCCCCTATCCCCACTTCATCAAACTTCAGGTGGTCTTTGTCAAGGTAAAGTGCAAACTTTCCTATATATTTCCTGGTACAGGAGGAGCTGGGTGGACACTTTCTAACATGGTCTCTGAACCTTGATGCCAGGGTTCCTATCTGCCCAACTTACACAAGATGGCCAGCCCATAGCCTTAGATATGGCCACTATTTAGTGTAGCATTTATGTACTTCTTTACCATTTAACATATATGAAACTATGATTTTATTTATGGTTCCTATCTTTTTAATGTGTCACTGAAGACATTTTTGAGCAATACCCTTGACTCCATTTCCCCATGAGCCCCACACGTTTTTATTGCACAATTTTGCATGACGTGGTACTTTTTGGGAATGCATATGTTGTGTTACAGAAGAGCTGACTGTATATCATTCAGTGACTTTCTGAATGAACTAAAAAATGTGTAATCTAAAAGTTAAAAACTGAAATGATAATCAAAATGAGGTCTTGGTAAACTGGTAAGTAACAGCATGACAAAACCATAAACACAAAGAGCAAATTTAGCACTGCTATGAAGTGAAGGAAAAACTGGCTCTTATCTGGGTGTATGAACATAGATGTGTGACAGAAACCTCAAGGGACTGAAAGAAAGCCACATAGCCTTAGAGGTAGTTAACATTTTAATTTTTATGATGTATGTTTGCACATTTTCATGATTTCAAAATTTTACTAGCAGCTTAGGAGTTGGTATTTTATCACCAATACCAAAATCAAACAAAATTAAAATCAAATGCCTCAGATTCTTGTAAGGATTGTAGTCATTATTCCCCAAGATATATCCTTTCCTGAACTGGACACTCATTCAGTCAAGCCTCATTTCTACAATAGCCATGAGCCTTTTGAATTTCTTGCATTCTTTTTAGGTTAGCTAGCCCAATATCAAGTCCTAATGGAGAATTTCTGCAGATGATAGCTCTTGAATGATCATTTTTTAAAAAGAGCATGTTGGCTTCCCCAATACTGAGCTTACCTGTAGCCTTTAGCCTAGGTTTGGGCATTTTCTTTTCTTTCCTTTCAGGCTTGGATTTCTTCACGATCTTTTTGTTTTTCTTTTTTGAACTTCCATAATCACTATCATCATCATCTTCCATTAGGAAGTCTTCATCACTGCCAGAATCTTCTGAGGAAAAGGAAAAATTTCACTGCCTGGCTTAATTTATATACCATTCCTAGTGAAAAAGGAAGGCATCGGATAATAGAGCAAGGAATTTGGGAGTCAAACATTCCTGGATTCTACCCCCTAGCTGCACAACTGACTTGCTAGGTGGTATCATTGGACCCATCTGTAAAATGGTTATAACATGCACCTCAATGGGGGTTGCATGACTGACTTGTTTGAAGAGAAGTTCAACAACAGGGGAAGATTTATAAAATCTAACATGAACAGAAATTGTTGCTATTAGTTAACTACAGAATACATGGCAAAAAGAAATATGTAAGATTACCCAAACTGAGATTTATAAAATATCTATATGCGATTAATAACATGCCTAAACACGGAAAAACCCCAACCCTACAAACCATCAGCATATTCTTAGGTTTAATTATTACTTTAATAGCATTTTTAGAGTAGAAGACATACATATTTATGAGCCAGTCCTAGTCTTATGACTAAAGGTACAATCTCTTAACAGGATGCATGTATGTCTAAATAGTCCTAATGAAAGCCACCAAATATTTCTAAATCTCCATTTGGTGATCCTGAGGCTTTAAGATGGAGCACCCTAGTTATTATTTGAGGAACTGGTATCTGGGTATGCCATCCCTAAGACCATAGTGATCAAGGTCACCCAACTGGTACTCCAGTCACTTTGACTTACTCTCCTGGAATGGTGCCTCTTCTTCTTCTTCTTGTTCTTCTTCACTGCCCACATCTTCCATGAGCATTTCTCTCTGCTTGGAAGCTGCTTTTGATGCTGCCTGACGCTGCTGGCGAACATTTTTGTGATCTTCTTTTTCATCTTCACTATCCTCTGCAACATTAAAGCCACAACAATACAATGATACAAAATGCTTTGATTCCAGTGGCTAATTAAGGAAGGAAATATATTCTTAGCCAATACGGGATTTAAAAATAAAATACGAAGCAACAATGGATAGCTCACAGCTTGTTAGATAAAAAGGTGTGGTCAAATTTGTTTGGTTGCACAAGAACGCTACCAGTACTTAATTTATATGTGCAAAATTTAATTCATTTAGCTTAACTGAATAAAAATGTCAAATCTGAAAATTCTAAGTACTAACTACAACAGCCTGAAATTCCAAAAATAATGGGCTTAAATAGTACTATCACTGCAAATAAAATGCTATGAAACATGCATTTGCAGATCAGTGGTATCAAACTTAAAGAAAAAAACGGGATCCCTGCTAACCAAATACTGGTTTAGAAAACCACACATTAACATTAATTACGCTGTACTGTACTTTCATTTATTGTTAAACATGTCCCAATTACATTTTAATCTAGTTTGCATGGCAGTTTTGCAGAGTTTGACACTTGTATTGCAAACAACATTATCTGATTTCAACTCCTGGCTCTGTTGTTTACTACTGAATTAACCTCCAACAAGTCATAACCACTCAGCCTAGGAGTTTTCATTTATAAACAGAGATGATAATATTGTCTTTCCTTGTCTCACAGAGTTGTGAGGATTTAAAGATAGAACATATATAAAAGTACTATAAACGTAAATTCTTATTACTGTTGTTAAAATATAAAATGCTTTAAAAATCAGTAAATGTGATATACATTAAAGTTATCACAAGTTTGACGAGTTTTTTAAAAATAAATTTTTATTGATGTATGTTTTTAGATTATTACAGTTATCTCCAGTATTCCTCCCATATGGGAACTACCCCATAATATTTTTAAAAGACACAAAAAAAGAAGAGGAAAAAAAATTCAGCACAATGGATCAAGATCTGAAAACATGGGCAATATGTAACACCAATGGACCTTCCACTTCTACAAAGGAGTAGGTCAGGAATGTCCTCTCATATCAAGTAATGTTCGATATTTATAATTTTGTTACATTTATTTTTGATTTGCTAGCAGATCTTCAGATACTGTAAACATCAAACTGCCAATCAATGAGGAATATGGTTTTTTAACATTTGTATCTTACATACCACAGATAGAATATACTTTGTATATATAAGGAAAGCTTTTAAACTTCACTTTTATTAAAAATCAGGTAGTGTGGTACAACTGTACTGATTAAAAAGCAAGAAATAAAACAGGTCACTTCCACTGGCAATACACTTACTTAAAAATCATCCAAAGGTAGCTATTCCTGATTAAGTCAGGATAAGAGCTGGCTGCTGGCCCTAGGACACAGAGTCAGGTATCCCTGTATTGGTGATCACTTGCATGCTTCTTTTTTTTCAGTTTGGCTTTTTCCCCCTTCAGAGGGCCTCTTCTGGGAGCATTTGTCAGCCTTGCCATCATCATTAGCTTTGAGGTCCATGACCTTTAATACTCAAATTTTCTTACCAAGAGGATGAAGGATCCCCTGTCACCACTTACACAAAACTTAACCTACCAAGCTGGGAACCATGATTAATGCCAATAGAGATAACATCTTGTGTCCTTTGGGCACTCAAAAAATATTAAAGAATTAAAAATTTGGTTTGTGGTCCAGCTGGGAGGTAGTTACCCAATAAAGTCATAGGTGAATGTTACGGGGACAGAGTTCACTGTGAACACTAAAGGTTAATGCAATTTCTTTTGCATTCAGAAGTATGGGTATTACACCTGGATAAAAATAAAAGTGAAAGTACCTGACAGGTCTGAAGTTGTCAAACCCTTGTCCATGCGGTAAAAATGATAAAATTAGTAGTCTCATTTGAAAGAAAGTCTAGCACTGGAAAGACAGGTAAGAAAACAATATGGCTAAACTCCTTCAATAAATAAATAAATAAAACGCATTCAACTCTGGTAAGAAGTGACAAATGTTCATTCACATCCCCTATGACAACAGCCTTCACAAAAAAACCTCTATTAGGTTAAGAAGAGTCCAAACTAAATAACAGAATACTTCAAATGAAATTCTGATTAAAGTATTGAAGATATCCTCTGGGAATTCTTCATGAGAGTGGCTTTCTAAGTGAAGACAGAAAAACTGACATTTCTAGTAAACCTAACTACATAAATACCTGGTGAGTGTGAATCATCCTTCTTGGTCTTCACATCTTTTTCTTCAGAGTCCTCACTGTATGTACAAAAAAATCATGTTAATAAGCTCTGAAAAGGGTAGGAATGACTCAAGGAAGACTAGATACTCTGGAATCTGACATAAACAAAGTCTTGAAGAGTACCACTTTTTGTTAGAAAGAGAGCTAGAAATAAAATGGATATCCATTAACTGACAAAGGATAAACATTATGGTATATTAATATAAATAGAATATTATTGCTCTGCAAGAAATAATGAAAAGGATGAGAAATCTGGGGAGACTTGGATGAACCAAGAGGGAACCCAGTATAAGGACAAAACACTGGACTTAAAGAGTCAGGGAGACCTGTATTTAAATTCCACCTTAAAAACTGACTGTGTGATCCTGAGCAAGTCACATAACCTCTATTGCCCTTAGTTCTTCATGTGCAAAATGAGAAGTTGGACTAGATGATCTCAAAGGTTCCTTACAGCTCTCAATTTCTAAGCTATAAATTGATGAAGAATTAAGTGGCCTGAATCAGTACACAAATGACCACAATAACATAAAGGAAAATAACTTTAAAAGACAACACAGCAGTAACAAAATCACAATCGCAGAACAGTGGTGTCAACCTCAAATTGAAACAAGGGCTACCAAACCTTAGATAACAATCCCTGTGAAACACATGTTAACTTGGAAAACCACATATTAATATTATCTATGTTCTATTGTATTTTTATTTTGTTAAATATTTCTCAATTAAATTTAATCTGGTTCAGGCTGCACTCAGGAGAGCTGTGGGCTATGAGTTAGATACTTCTGCTATAGAAGAACAGATGATGATGAAGCATGTCTCTCACCCAATGTCAGAGAGGTAAAGAACTAAAAAGAAAAAAAAATGAGACATACTATTTTCAGACAATGTGTACATTTGTTTTGCTTGACAAAATCTGCCCTTGTGGGAGACTGGGGGTAGGGTTGGAGATTGTGGGATAGAGTGACAGTGATAACAAAAAAGAACATCAATGAAAACATTAAAAAATACACATGAGAGCAGGGGCAGCTAGGTGGCACAATGGATAGAGCACCAGCCCTGTAGTCAGGAGGACCTGAGTTCAAATCTGGATTCAGATACTTACTAGCTGTGTGACCCTGCACAAGTCACTTCACCCTGCATGTCCCCTCAACACCCCTCCTCCCACTCCAATACACATACGAGAACAGATAGATGGGCAGAAGAGGAGATAGATAGGCAAGGCAGTATGGTATTCCATGAAGTATATTTGTTACTGTTCAGTTGTTTTTGCAGGTGTGTTAGATTCTTTGCAATTCCATTTGGGTTTTCTTGGCAAAGATGCAGTAGTAGTTTTCCACTTCCTTCTCCAGATCATTTTACAGATGAGGAAACTAAGGCAAACTGGGTTGAGTTGCCCAGGGTCACACAGCTAAGAAGTGTCTGAAGGGATAACCAGATGATGCAGTGGAGTCAGGAGGGCCTGAGTTCAAATCCAGCCTCAGACACATGATACTCTCACTAGCTGTGTGACTCTAGGCAAATCACTTAACCCCAGGTGCTTTGCTACCCCTCTCCCCCTCCCAAGAATTGGTTGAGGGCAGATTTGGACTCAGGAGGGAGTCTTCCTGATTCTAGGATCAGTACTCTATTCACTGGGATACCTAGGTAACCTAGTATATAGTTAACACATATTTAGAAAACAAGCTATATTTAAGTTTCACATATAATTTGCATTTTTTGTTCCCTCTAAACTGACATTTTTATGTCTGTTAAATTCAAAAGAAAAGAAAAAGCTACAAAAGTTTCTGTGTCATCCTGGATGGTTAAACTATTATAGAATGAGGGCAACATATTACTCTTGTATTTTTAGCAGACCATCTACTTGAGAAGTACATATATACACATATATATTATAACCTTTATGAAAACTATTGTTTACAAACACCAAAAAAGCAAATGATTCCTCCAAAGAATACATACTTCTTAGGTGTATGTAGGCAAGGCTTCACATAATCTAAGGGTAAATGTGAATACTGGAAAGTGACTTCATAGTGAAATGTAACAATGATAGTTTATTAAACTAATATATTTTCAATGAGTATGTCTTTTATGGCTATCTATTTGGAGGTAGAGGGGAAGTACTTGCCAGTAAGATAAATAAACAACACTGGCTAGACAGCTTAATTTGATGACAGGTCTATACATCTGCCTTAATTTATTGCCAGGAGACACATAGACATCATTTACTTTCCCTGATTGTGCACATCATCCACTTACCCCCCAAAATACTTTAGAATATTTTTTAAGGAACATAATAAGCTATACAATCTAAATACTACTGTATAATCATTTTCTGACCAAGCAAAAGCCAACCTAAAATGAAAGAGCCAGTAAAGTAATAAAAGATGGAGAGAGAGAGGTGTTTTAAAGGTAAACCCATTTCTGCCCTCCTCCCTCAAAAAGAATACATGAAAATAACATGGTACAATGGGAAGAAACCTAGATTTGGAATCAGAAGAAGTTTTATTCTTGGTTCTGTTACTTTCTGTGTGACCTTGGGCAAGTCACAAGCTCTCTGGGCCTCAGTTTCCCATTTAGTAAAATGAGGAATGAAGGGATTGGGCTAATTCTCTAAGATCACATACAGCTCCAATACTCTACCACCTTATGATGCTAAGAAAATTAACTAATCTTTTCTCCCCACACTCTCTTTAGAATCCATTTTGCTTCTGACTACTGACTCCCTCAATCTCTTATTTCCTCCCCTTTCCCTTAACATCTGTCCCTCCTATTTTCTTGTTGGGTAAGATGTCTTTCTGTACCCAACTTTGTTAGTGTATTCTTTCCTCCTTTAACCAGCTCAAATGAGTGAAGTTTAAGTGTCATTTGCTCCCCTCCCCCAGGACTCTTCCTTGCTATATAAACTCTTTGCATAATCCATTTATGTGAGACAATTTTCCTTACTCCTCCTTTCCCTTCTCCCCTCTCCCAATGTGTTCCTCTTCCCCACTCTTTCTATTTTTCTGAGATCATCAAAATAAACAGAATTGCTGCCTGGACCAAGGTTTAATCAGACCTCCTCTATGACCCTGAGTGGCTACATGTATCAACCTCTAAAATAAGAATTTAAAGCAATTTAACTTGATTAATCCCTTGATTGCTCATTCATGTTATGCTTCTATTGACCTCATGTTTACATGTTAAATTTTCTACTCAGCTCAGGTCCTTTCATCAGGAATGCTTGTTTTGTTAAAGGTCCATTTTTCCTCCTGTAGGGGAATATATAATAATACTCAGTTTTGCTGGTTAAATTTTATTCTTGGTTCTAAACCTAGATCCTTTGTCTTATATAAAACTACATTCCAAGCTCCATGGGCCTTTATCATTGTAGCTGCTAAAACTTGTATGGTACCTTGGTACTTGAATTCTTTTTGTCTGCTTGCTGTATTCTTTTTTTTTTTGGTTTTGTTTTTGACCTGGGAACTCTGGATTTTGGCTATAATATTCCTGGGAGTTTTTATTTTGAAACTTCTTTCAGGAGGTGACCAGTGGATTCCTTCAATTTCTACTTTGCCTTTTGTTCCTAAACTATCTGAAGAGTTTTCTTTAATGATTTCTTAAAATATGTCTAGGTTCTTCTTCTCTCTATATATATTTTTTGCTCACGGCTTTCAAAGTAGTCCAATGGTTCTTAAATTATTTCCGTTCAATCTGTTTTCCAGGTCAGTTGTTTTTGCTATGAGATATTTCACATTTTCTTCTATTTTTCAGACTTCTGACTTTGTTTTTATTATTTTTGATGTCTCATGGAGCCATTACCTTCTATTTGGCCAATTCTGATTTTCAAGGAGTTATTTTCTTCAATAAGGTTTTCCCAAGTTGTTAATTCTCTTTTTCTTTCTTTCTTTTTTTTTGGGGGGGGCGGGTGGTGGTGCAATGGGGGTTAAGTGACTTGCCTAGGGTCACACAGCTAATAAGTGTTATATGTCTGAGGCTGGATTTGAACTCAGGTCCTCCAGAATCCAGGGCCAGTGCTCTATCCACTGCACCACCTAGCTGCCCCCGTTAATTCTCTTTTCATATCTTTCTTCCCTAGCTCTTGCTTTTCTCATTTTAAATAAAATTTTAAAGATATAATTCTTCTAGGAATTCTCTTTGGATTTGTGTACAAGCTGCATTTTTCTTTGAGACTTTTCCTTGTAGTTTTTCTGATTCGTACTCTTCTGTGTCTTTAAGCTTCCCTGTCACCATAATGGCTCTGTATTATGAGGTTCTTGCTCATTCTTCTAGTATACTTCTTGACTTTGTACTTTATGTTAGTGCTGGGCCCTATTGACTCTTGTGGGGATGGGGTGGAGGTGTGTGTGCGCACTTGTGAGGGGATGACTAGTCTAAGCTTCTGTCCTCTTATGTCCTGCTGCTTTCACAGCTCTGGCTGAAGAAGGGCTTGCACTTGCAAGCTTTCCACACTTCCAAAGTAGTTTCATCTGGGGAGAGAACTGTTCCCTACCTTCCTGATATATGAGTCCTGCAGGTTCTTGACCCAAGTCTGGATCTGTTGGCTTGTTCCTTGTTGGGAATAGAGTTTCAGGAGAAGCTCTGAAGATTCAAAGCACTTGAACTGCCAGCTCCCCTTTAGTTGGGGAGCTTTGCTTCCAGGATCAGAATCACACAGCCACCACTTGCTTCTGGAAGTTTTTCCTTGCTTGGTACACAGCTCGGTCACTGCTCACAAATATTCTTCTCTATCCTGGGTCTGTGACCTGGCACTAGGTAGTAGATTACAGAACTGCCAGATGACACCTGATGACACCACACCTGGTGCTTGTTCAGTGACCCCTCAGGATTACTTTTTGTGACAGTGCTTCCTGCCTTATCTTGGCCCTCTTGATCCCTAAGTGCCAGGAGGCTCCTGGTAAGATTCCATCACCAGGGCCTTCAACCTTCTCTGGCTCCCAAAGCTGCTCTGGGCTGAAAAAATGATTCACTCAGAATCCTTCCTGATCAGAATCTGTCTGGCACATTTTTTAGACATCTGTCAAGGAGATGTGTCAGGTGAGCTAGACTCTTAATGTTTCCTCTCACTCTACCATCTTGATTCAGCCTCCAGAAAATACAAATCCTTAGACTCCTTCTAATCTTAATTCAGCAACCTGTGTTCTAATCCTGGCTCTGTAGCTAACTGTCAGTTACATGATTTTCGGCAAAATACTTCACACCTCTCTGTGCCTTACTTTCTGTATCTGTCATTGAAGGGATAAGACTGGTTAACCCCTGAGATACCTTCTAGTTTTATAATTCTTTGACTGGTAAAAACCAAAGGAATAGATATTCATGTATAATCCCTTCGACTACTACTTTGTTAAAGGCAGTTCTTATTACTAATTAATTTTTGAAAATAAAAGGGCTATTGGCTCCCCTATGCATACTCAAATTATCCCATTAAGCCTAGAGTAACTAACAAAGAGATCAGATTTTTTAAAACTGAGAGTATCATTTCAAGGAAATTTGCCAGTCTGAAAATTGCACATATTTCTATATCTATACTTGTCAATTATTATTTATTAATATAAGACACACAACTCAAGTTCTAGTAATTCCAAATTTCTATCAAAATTACTAGACCCCCCCCAGTTATCTTCAGTCCTCCAATAGTCCTATTTACAGACTTTTAAGGCAAAGCCTGGAACCCTATTAGGGAAAGGCTGATTTTACAGTGGAGAACGCACAAAGGAAAATCAATTTCGATTAGTATGAAGAAATAAATGTAATATACATTCAATTTGGTAATAGTTCATTTAATTACCATGGGGCAATAGAGAGATCACTGAAGCAAAGGAAAAATTCTTAATAATATAGGCCATTAGTAGACACTGACAATTATTTATGATTTGCAAGGTTTGCAAGGCATTTATACTATAAATTATATTAACTTGCCCCTCACAATAACCACGTTAAGTACAAGTATTATTACCCTCATTTTAAAGATGAGGAAACTGAGGGTCAGAGAAAATTTAACTTATGATCATACAACTAATGAGTAATGCTGGCAGGATTTGAACCCAGGCCTCTCCTGATTCCAAATCTGACACTCTTCCAAATAGGAATCTACAAAAGGAAGGAAAATAAATTTTGGATTTAATTGCAAACACTATGCTACATGAGAAGAAGATACCTCTAAAGCTAACTCTTGGGAGAACTAACAATAAATAAGAGCACAGACACTCATCAAGGTTGGGCTTAAATGCAGTCTGGCCTAGAGGCAGAGGATAAATATGTTCCAGGATGGACAGATTCTGAGATACCTTCCAATTATAAGATTCTGTAATTCCTTCTACTTTTATTTTCTACCCATGAAACTCACTTTAACGATTCTATAAGAAAAGCAAATGAAAACCTTTGGTTTGGATAAGGATAACTACAGACTAAATTAGAGTAAGACACCATACCTAATATTTTAACTCTTACCAATTTAGTACTTTACTAAGTAACTCAAATTGTTTGAATTTTTGTTTGGCCTCATTTTTGTGCAATGATTTCAACACTTCAAGGTTAATAACTTAAAATAACTACAACAAATATTTTTTACTTGGTCTTTCTGTCCAGTCAAACAAGACAAGATAGTTTTAATGTCCTATTTTAAGTCAGCCCTCCTCCCATCATACGTTACCTTCTGTTATAAAGGATACCTATTCCCACCACAGCCATTCTCATCAGGTGACCTGGGATTCCCCCTTTTACTGGTCTCCAATTTAGTAAAAGTTAAAAACTAAAGTCTCTAATCAAGTAAAAAAAAACACAAAAATGTCCATTTTATACAATCTCTTATTCTGGGAGTGGACTTGATTTTAATAACCTCAATTAACAGTGAATGTTGGAGTTCCAAGTTTTCTATTGATGGGATAAGCGAGGGTTTGTTAAATGTTATTAAGTTACTATTAGGACCCAGTTAAGAGTCTCCATAATAAATTAGTTCTTGCAATGAAGCTGGTTATCCAACTCAGATTCAACGAGTTCCACAGTCATCATCCTGACAGTGATGTAATTTTGTGATATAGAATGGGACAAGCCAGATCATCAAAAAGAGGAGATTAGCAATAACTCTGAAGAACTGAAGTGAAAAAGCAAAATGGATGTGAAGCACATTACGTAAACAATTAAGTGGCAAAATAAAAGTTCTATATTAATGTCTCCATGTTTTTCCCCTACGTGGAACTTAACTAAACTTCATGCTTTTCTTACTTCTACTTACAGAAATAACTGAATTTTAGAACTAGAAACAATTATGTGATCTAGTACAACTATTTATAATCTTACAGATGCAACTTGGTTCAAGATCCTTCAGTGAACAGAGCCTGTACCCAAACTCAACTCCTTGACTCGTGATCCAGTCCTTTTAATCAGACCAGAATTTTGAAAATGATCAGAAACAAGCTTGAGTAGTAAAAATTCTAGAGATCCATCCATATAATCTGAATAACTTTTAAAAAAGGCAATTTTTCTCAGTTAGAAACACTAATCAGGTAATTTGACCTCCAAAAATAAATGGTTTAAATACTAAGCACATATATCCTAAAAAAAAAGGTCAGAGAATAAAAGATCTTATATATAAGAAAACAATTATAGCAGCACTTTTCATAATGGCAAAAAGCTGGAAAGGAATGAATAAATTGTGTTCTAAAATTCATAAAAATGACAAACGTGAGGAATTTCAGAGAAACATGAGATGACTTACATGAACTGATAGAGAATGAAATTAAAACCAGAAGGACACGCACAATAACGGAAATCAAAACAACATGTAGGTAAATTCCAATTAACTGCCATGACCAAGCTAATTCCTGGAGAACAGGTGATAAAATACACTTCCCTCCTTTTGGAAAGAGGCTATTTTGCTTAGCTGTGTTTCTTTGTTACAAGGGAGGATTTGATGAGGGAGAAGGGGAGAAGGTACACTGGATAATAAAAACAAAAGAAGTAGCACCCTTCTTACCTATCTTCCTGTGAATTTTTCCCAGATCGCCTCTTGTTTTTAGCCTCTCGCGGGGATGATCGGATTTTCTTAGCTGGAGGGGCTGAATCTCTTCCATAATCTTCATCTTAATGGTTAAAAAATGAAATTAACTGCTTGCTTCCTAGAGTAAAAACCAGCACTACATTCTTATTCAAGATGTTCCTTTACAAAAGATTATTGGGTGGGATGGGGTTTCCCTAACACAGGGGCTCTTAACCTTTCTGTGTGTCATGAACCCTCATCCTCAGGCAATCTAGTGAAGCCTATAGACTCCTCAGGACTAAATGTTTAAATGCATAAAATAAAATACATAGACCCCAACATATTCTATTATTTCAGGCAAATGACTCATATCTATAATTTCAAAGGGTTAAAAACCCTCTGGATACAGAGGCAAAAGATCTTTATTATAGCAAGAGATTTATTATATTTTAAAAAGCATTAACAGAACTTCAGAATTTGTGCTCATTCAGATAAGCTTATTAAAGAAAACCATATCAGAAGACTGAAATCTAAAAGAATGAATTATTATTACTGATAATTTATACATGCACACTATATGCCAGGCATTGTGCTATAAGTACTTTACAAATATTGCCTCATTTGATCCTCACAACAAACCTAGTGGTAGGTGCTATTATCATCCCTGTTTTACAGATGAGGAAACTGAGGCAAACAAAACAAAAAAACACACACCACGGTTAAGTGACTTGCCCAGGGTCACACAGCTAGTACTTGTCTGAGGCCAGATTTGAACTTGAGTCTTCCTGACTTCAGGCCCAGTACTCTATCCACTGGGCCACTTAGCTGCTTATCTACCAAGAAAAGTAAACTTGAAGAAAATCCATGTGACTTAACATACATACAGATCCTAAAAATAGCTTTTCTTTGAACTTAATTATTAACAGTAAAAATATTTTAGAAAAGGTGTGAGACAAAAAGACCATGGAATATTCCATTTTGGGGATTCTTTTCTCTGCTACAAAGTCTAATGAAACATGACATGTAAGAATAAAAGAAAAACACCACCACACAAAAAGCCAATATATTTTTTTAAGATGTCCATATCACACAGTTATAAGCTAGATGGTACAATGGACAGAGTGCTAGACCTGGTGTCAGGCAGAACTAAATTTAAATCTAGTTTCAAACACTTAGCAGTTATGTGACCCCTAGACAAGTCACTGAATTTCTGCCCGCCTCAGTTTCCTTATCTGTAAAATGGGAATAACATCTACTTCACAAGGTTGTTGTAAGGATAAAATGAGATGCTTGTAAAATGCCTTGCAAAATCCTAAAGCACATACTGTCTGGATATTATATAAAAACAGGATTTCCCTCCAACATAAAACTTTTAAAAAAGCATTTAATATCATAGCACACTTTAGCGTATATACTTCTTGAAAGGGTACAATCTTACCTGCATCATCAGATTCCTGAAACTGTGAATAATCGACCACCTTCCTGTTTCTGTAAGGAAGAATTTAAATAGCAATTAATTAGGAACAAAGGTCATAGGGTTTATTCAAGGCACCCAGAATATAAACCACCTGCTTTATTCAACAGAATAAACTGCCTATTTTATTCAACAAAAGACTCTCCAAAAGTCACTTAAAGTTCCCTCAAGAGATTTACTCTATGCATTTTTCTACACTGAAATTAATTTCTTGATAAATACTGCAAAACGGCTATTTTTAGAAGCTATTTTCTAGACAGTATTAAACTGCAGCATATTGAACTATTAAGAACCACCATTCAGTAATAGTCAAGTTGAATAATAGAAACACCTCTTTGTGAATCTTGTAACTATACCTCAAAGATGTAGGGATTTTGAGATCCATGACAAAGAGAATGTCCCAAAACAAATTCCAACTAAGATGATGCTTCTGCCCCTAAAAGGCATTTTAATTTCTTTGGCCCACAAGGGGCATGAAGATACAAAGAAATTCAATCTGTGACAAGTAAAATCTTAAAGATCTTTTTATATTTGAAGAAGTCCCTTCCCATTCACCGGACTAGGGACTACTGCACTAATTTCTAATGCGCTTTCTTATGATCTCATCCAGAAGTTAAAATGAACTTCAAAAACTAGAGTTTTACAGAACTATGGTATATTTTTCACGTTAGTGATAATGCAGATCCATTATCTTCTACAATTAAAGCCCCACATCAAACTAAACAAAATGCAAATCTAGTATAGTCAAGAAATCAAATATACATTATTAACTCAAGAATTAACAATTCTATATATGCCCAAAGGGCTATAAAACCATGCATACCCTTTGATGCAGCAGTGCAACTACTAGGTCTGCATCCCAAAAGAGATAAAAAACAAAAAGAAAAAGGACCTATATTACAAAAATATTTATAGCAGCTCTTTTGTAAGGGTGAAGAATTAGAAGTTAAGGGGAAACTCATCAATTGGTGTATGGCTGAACAAGTGTTGGTATATGATTATGATGGAATACTATTGTACTATAAGAAATGATGAGTAGGATACTCTTAGAAAAACCTGGAAAGATTTGCATGAGCTGATACAAGGTGAAATGTACCATGTACAAAGTAACAGCAACATTGTAAGATGATCAGCTGTGAATGACTTAGCTATTCTCTCAGCAATACAGTGGTCCAAGACAACTCTGAAAGACTTATGATGAAAAATGCTATCCATCCTCAGAGAAAAAATGGACAGTGTCTCAATACAGACTGAAGCACTGTTTTTACTTTCTCTATTTTTTTTTAAAATTAGGCAACTGGGGTTAAGTGACTTGCCCAAGGTCACACAGTTAGTGTCAAGTGTTTGGTCCGAGGCTGCATGTGAACTCAGATCTTCCTGACTATCCACTGTGCCACCTAGCTGCCCCTTTTCTTTGTTTTTCTTGGTTTTTTTTTTTTTGCTCTGTTTTCTTTCACAACATGACTATTACGGATATGTTTTGTATGACTACACATGTATAGCCTATATTGCCTTCTCAATGGGGGAGGGAGAAGAGGGAGGAAGAGAGAGAATTTGGAACTCAAAGTTTTAAAAACAACTGTTAAAAATTATTTTTACATGTAACCGGGGAAAAACAAAATACAAAAAAAAAATTAACAGTTCTAGTAAAGTCTCATGAGAAATTTGACATTCTTTTTGAGATTTATCTCTTTAGTTTTTCACTCAATTTCTACTGCCCTGGTTACTTGTTGACAACTATTCTTACATCAAGTTGGGTGAGTTTTCTTTTTATTGTAAGTTCAGGGGAAGCTAGGTGGTGCAATGGATAGAGCACCGGCCCTGACATCAGGAGGATCTGAGTTCAAATCCGGCCTCAGACCAAACACTTGACACTTACTAAGTGTGTGACCCTGGGCAAGTCACTTAACTCCAACTGCCTAAAAAAAAAAAAGTTCAGCCCTTCTCAGCAATGCAAGGATCTAAGACATTTCCAAAAGTCTCATGATGGAAAATGCCATCCACATCCAAAGAAAGAACTATGGAGTTTGAATGCAGATTGAAGCATACTATTTGCTATTTGTTTTTCTTCTGTTTTGTTTTCTCTTTCTGGTGTTTCCTCCTATTGGTTATAATTTTTCCTTACATCACTAATGTGAAAATATGTTCAACAGGAATGTATATGTACAGCTTTTATCAGATTGCATGGTGTCTTGGGGTGGGAGGGGAAGAAAAATTTAAAATTAAAAAGCTTATGGAAGTGATTGTTGATTAAAAAAAAAAGTTCACCAGATCTTGGTATTTATCCTCCCTAATCTAGATTCCCCAAGTATTACTAAACAATAGGAAAACAGATCAAAATTTTATATTCACTTTTTTATTCCTAGCAATACATGAATACTCAGTTACAAAGCTGATTATTACTAGTGTCATCATGGGAAAAAAAAGCAGCTTTTCTCCTCATAATACTGATATTGTTAACCTTTTTACTTCCTAATACCAATTAAAAAAAACTGGAAGATTAAATCAAGTGACTGCTTTTTATAACTGTCTGAACTAAAAATAAGTTTTCCTAAATGTTTGATATTGATCAAATATTTTAACTAAAGAAATTATCACCGTCCCTAATTATTAAACTTATTGCTCAGAAGGCCAGAAGTTCGATTAAGTGATCAGATTCTCCTTAATCTTCAAAGGATGCTATGTATTATTTGGTACACGGATTGACTTAAAATTTGAAAATATTCTCAACAGAGCATTTCCCACTATTTTAGGAACTTTTCAAAGCATTTTTTTCCAAGCCCTACTTAACACACACAAAAAATCTAAGTAATTAGCATAAATATACTAATATCACTCAAGATATAGATAATTTCAGTTCTAGGTTTTTTTTTTACTTTTCCAATATTCTGCATTTAAAGGACATTAAATTCCTCCTTTAATAAAAAGCTTCAATATTAACATCCAAAATACATGAATCTCAGAATAGCCTTACAGGGAGAACGGTAGGACTACAATTACTTCAATAATAACAGTCCCACAAAGACAGAACAAAAATGAACTGAAAGGATTAAGAGAAGTGCAGTAACATCACTTACAATTAAACTGAGAGACAAGCTGGTCAAATTCAGTTTCATTGTTTCAATGTCTAACCTGAGAGGAAGACTGGGGATTTCTCAAAACATGCTCATGGGATGAGAACAGAGAAAGAAGTCAACAATATACTAACAGTGTTGTAGGTCCCTCCAAATCCTTATTTTTGGTAGTTAGAAGCCTTAAAAAAAACCAACAAGAACAAACCCAACAAAACCTTTAAAGACAACTAACTGAACATAACTGTGGTTAATGAATTGTTCTGTTTGCCTATTATTCTAGTAGGCAAAATGTAAACTACAGAGTAAATCATAGTATTTCAGAGATGAAAAGGACCTCAGCAGCCACATATTCCAACTCATACCTAAAAGAATCCCCGAACAAGTACAAAAATATTTTCAGCAGCTCTTTTCACAGCAGCAAAATCTGGAAACCAAGGAGGTCCTTGCATGCTGGGGAAGAGCTAAACAAATATAGTATATGAATGTAATGGAATATTATTATGCTCTAAAAAAATGAAAAAGAAAAAAGTATCATTTCAGAGGAAGCTGGAAAGGCATGTAAACTGATGCCAAGTAAAGTAAGCAGAACTAGGAAAATAATTTATATGACATTACAGGGAAAAAAATGAACTTTGAGAAACTAGAAATCTGAACGACGAAATGATAAAATATAGTCCAGAGGACTAAAGAGGAAAACATGATAGCTACCTCCTGCCAGAGAGGGGTGGACTTGAAATGCAGAATGAAATGCGTTTTTGGACATAGGGCAACATGGGAATTAGTTTCATTTGATTATGAATATTTGTTAAAATGGAGCCCCCACAAGTGCTCATCCAAACTTTACTTAAAGACCTCTAACAAAGGAAAACCTACCACCTTCCCAAGGCAGCTCATTCCCACTTTGGGATGGTTCTTACTGTGAGGAAGCTTTTCCTGACATTATGCCTAAATTTGCCTCTGCAATTTCCACTCATTTCCATCAAAACATTCCTGATTCTGTGTTCTAGGGCCAAGGAGAAAAAAATTCAAACCTTTCCTCCACGTGATAGCCCTTCAACTATCTGAAGCCAACTATTTTGTTTCCTGAAGTCATTTCTTCTACAAACTAAAACCCCCAATCTTGGATAAGCTAGAAGCCTAATTAGAGCAGGGGTAAAGCAAGGATGCCCATTATCACCTAGCTACAGCAATAAGACAAGAAAATGAAACTGAAGGAATAAAAATAGACAGTGAGGAAACAAAATAAACCCACATAAATCAGCACTTCTATATATTACCAACAAAATCCAGCAGCAAGAAATAGAAAGAGAAATTCCATTTAAAATAACTGCAAACAATGTAAAATACTTGGGAGTCTACCTGCCAAGACAAACCCAGGAACAATGTAACATTTTTCCACACAAAAGTTTCCTGCACAAATAAAGTCAGATCTAAACCTGGTAAATTATTAATTTTCACTGGCTGAGCCAATATAATAACAATGACAAGTCTAAATTAATTTACTTATTCAGTGCCATACAAAGTATCAAAAAATTATTTTACAGAGCTAGAAAAATGTAGTAAAATTCATCTAGAAGGACAGAAAGTCAAGAACATCAAAGGATTCAATAAAAAAAAAGAAGTGAAGGAAAGTGGCCTAGTACTACCAGATCTTAAACTGTATTACAAACTGGTAATCATCAAAACAATCTGGTACTAAGAAATAGAGCACGGGATCAGTTGAAATAGATTAGGCACACATGTAGTAAATGACCACAGTAATCTAATATTTGACAAATGCAAAGATTCAAGTTTTGGAGAAAAGAACTCATTACTTGACAAAAATTGCCGGGAAAACTGGAAAGCAATTTGGCAGAAACTAGGTATAGACCAACATCTCACACTGTATACCAAGGTTAAGTTCAAAATGGACACATGACTTAGATGTAATCAAATTAGGA